CGGACCGGAGCTGCTCTTCCCCGGGCTTCCCGGAGTCAGCTGCGGGTCAGTTTCGGCAGCGGCTGACTTGGGAACGCCTGGGGCAGAGCAGCTGGGGTGCTGCCGGGTTGGTCCCGCCGCGCCAAGGGTCGGCGCTACCAGACCAACCCAGCAGCACTCCAGCTGCTCTGCCCCAGGAGTGTCCGATTCAGCCACTGCTGGTCAGTTTCAACAGCGTCTGAATCTGGACGCCTGGGACAGAGCAGCTGGGGCGCTGCCGGGTTGGTTTTTTAGCAATTTTTGTTAAGGAAAATAACAAACCAATGGAAGAGCTTCCTCCTTCCCCCCAGAGTTGTTGGTCGGGGGGGGAAGCCACTGCCCCTCTAAAAGACAAGGCTTTTTTGGCACATCAGGCTCTTGTTGGCCACCGCCATCTTGGTGACACCATTTTGAATCGCTGCACCAGATGGCTCCCTTGCCCTGGTGAGGGCACATCAGGCTCTTGTTGGCTACCGCAGTCTTGGTGATGCCGTTTTGAATCGCTGCACCAGACGGCTCCCCTGCCCCGATGAGTACTGAGGGCCTTTTCTAGGGGTACAGGGGCAGCTTTGCAAGCCACACTTTAGGGGGGGAAGAACTGCACGTGGCTCGCGAGCCATGGGTTGACTGCTGGTGGACTATTCAATAAGTCGATAGAGCGCCTCTGCCTTTGAAGTGTAGCATCAGCCCTAGTTCCTTACACCACTGCCAGGCAGCCACGTGGTCAGGCTCCTGGCCTTACAGGGGCAGCCCTGCTGCCTCCTAGTCACACCAGGCAACTGCGCCACTCAGCGCAGCTGAGGCTCCTAGTACTTCCGAACAAAGGATGTTGTGAGACCAAAGACTCCTCAGTTAAGAGAGGCTCAACCAGTATAGAAGTTAGGTTGACTGGTCTATAATCCTCTGGGTAGTCTTTGTACCCTTTAATAAAGATAGGTACTGTGTTCTTCTTCATGCCTCTGGGACCTCACCTATCTTCCATGAGTACTTTTGAAGATGTACTTTATTGCTCTTTATATCCCTTGCTAATTGTAACTCAATCTGTGCTTTAGCCTTTATTATTTTGTCCCTTCTGCTTGATGATATTCTTTTATATGCCTCCAGAACAATTTGTCCAATTTTTTCACTTTCTGTAGGATCCTTTTTTTATTTTTCAAGTCATTAAAGAGCCTGGATTAAGCTATATTGTTCTTTGTTTGGCTGCAGAACTGAAAGACGTGTCCTAGAAACCGAAATTCCGCATTTGATGTAGGGCTTGTCTGAATTGGGAAAAGACGTTAGGTTGCAATTAGTTAATATCAAACTTGATTCTCTTCCTAATGTACACAAATTTTAAGAGGATCTACTCTTCCTGCTACCTGCAGCTGGCTTATACACTCTGCTCTGACAGAAATAATATTTGAAATCTCTGTATTTTCTGCAGAGGGAATCTGTTTTTGTTCAGTAAAATACTTTTTTTCATTATTTAGGAACTGGAGAAGATGATGAGTATGTTGATGATTTCAACAGGTAAGAGGGAAAATACTTATATTGCTACAGTGAGATATTTAATCGATAGTAAACATTCAGTTTTCTAAGTAAACTAAACCAGAAGTAAGTTCATCATATCATGATCAGTTTAACCATGCTGCCACCTGTTTGTTATATATCTGTGAATAAACTTACGTCTGTTAACTTTGTATAGGCAGGAGAGTCTCTTGAAAACCTGTCTTTAGGATGTTGAGCAGCTCTAGAGGTTTTCAAACAAAGAAAAATAGCCTGTTCAACAACACATTTTTATAATTTACTTTTTAAAAAACATTTTAGTTGATATTTATACAAAGAGTCCAAATTGAATCTTTCATCTAGAAAACTGAGCTGCATGAAGGACAGATGGTTGAGCAGTAATATTTTAGGCACTTGATTCTACAGTTTATATGGCATAGCTAACTTCTCACAACTTAATTCAATTACAGGTGTATTCTTAAATGTTTGTATCATTAGCCTGATTTTTTTTTTTTTTTTTTTTGGTTTTTTTTGTTTTTTGTTTTTTTTTTTTTTGTTACAGAAAAGAAATGTATCTAACCTAAACACTTTTCCCACTAGAGGCGTGTAATGTAGTGGGAATTCTTTTTATAGCAGAAAAAGAAAATCTAATGGTTGTCACCTTTATTCTTTTTTCTGTCATTAGTACCAGTCATCGATCAGAAAAAAGTGACATTAGTATAGGTGAAGAAATAGAAGAAATTTCTGTGGAAATAGAAGAATCAAATGCTAGTGATAAGGTATGACTTACTGTGTGGACATGTTTTTAATCTTGCATTAGGTATTTATCCCTTTCTGAATAAAACTTGCAAAAGCGACGAGGAGTCCTGTGGCACCTTATAGACTAACTGAAGTGTAGGAGCATAAGCTTTCGTGGGCAAAGACCCACTTCGTCAGATGTCAGATTCCGCTTTTGCAGATTCAGACTAACACGGCTACCCCTCTGATACTTGACAACATACATTCAGTGGATATCTTGTGTAATATACATGTGTATCCACCGAGCTTATATGTATGTATGGAGAGAGATCCACAAATCACTCTCTAGAGCATGGGACTGGTACAGTAATTAACAGTTGAGATTTTCTTGTAATCTTTTAGCATATGCAAGAGTTTTGTTGTTTTAAACTTTGCCTCAGTTGTGCACATATTTTCATTACTCAGCACTGGCAATCAAATTTCTATAATGTCCTTTCTAAACCAGAACACTTTGAAGTATTTTGGCTGGGCATCTGAGGAACGCTGAGATTTTACAATTAGTACGTACAGCTACCTATTGAATTGGTCTTGGCTGACAGCATGCTCACAGCCTATTACCTAGACCACCTTCCAAAAATTTTCAGAGTATTTTTAAAGTTGTAAACGAGACAAGTGACTCCAAATCTATTTTATTTAAAATTCTTTTTTTTTGCATTGGAATCAATAAGTCTTTATTTGGTTGGAAAAATAAAGCAGTGAGGCTAGTTAGATCCCAATTCCATATAGGGATGTTCAGTAGTGTTTAATTAGCTAATTGAGTAGTCAATTAGTCAGTAAGGAGCTGCTCTTGCTATCCCTGCTGCAGCTCTGCAGTTTAAATGTAGTAGGAGACAGGTGTGCAGGAACTCCGATCCTACTACAGATCCTAAACTGCAGAACTGTAGTGGGATTAGCCCCTGAGGGTGGCATGAACCAGGACTGAGCAGTCCCTGCTCGCTGTGGGACCTCTGAGCTTCTGCCTTTTAAATGTTGTTATAAGAGCTGGCTGCTCCTACATTTAAAGAGCAAAGGTGCAGTGCTTGGGGACCCAGTGCTAGCTGGGACTGCTTCAGTTCCATCTTGTGCCAGGTCCCCCACTATGGTGCTGGGGCTCCCCCCAGCACCGGCTCCTGCCCCCCTCCTTGCTGCTCCAAAGCCAGTTCCCCCCATGACTGGTCCCTGCTTTTCCCCCTTGCTGCCTCTATATCAG